CTGAGCCACCTTCCCAGCCCAACTTTTTAAAAATTGATTCAGATGAGATCTTTTGAACTTTTTGCCTAGGCTAGTCTTAAACTAGCCTCCTAAATCTATGCCTCCTGAATAGCTAGATTTATAGTTGTGTACCACCAAACCCAGCAACAAAATGATTTCTTATCTCATTTCCTCCTTATGAGATATGGTGTTATAAATATATATTCATAGAACAAGTGGGGCTCACAAATTGGGTTTGCCAAAGTCACACAGTGTTGAGGCAAGACTTGAACCTGAGTTTTCCAACTCCAGGCTTCATTTTATCTCATCACACCTGTTTCTTAAAATAGATACTGTCTGGTGTGACCTTGGTAGATGGGCTACCTTCACCTGGGAGTTTACATCCTGTTCTGGTGGCCATAGCTTCAGGCCAGTATAACCAAAATAATCAAGGGTGTGGACAGTTTGCTGCTAGACAGGCTAACCATGTCAAGATGCTTCTCCGTAGAGAAGGATTTGCTGAAAATCTACTGAGCCAGGTAGAACAAATTCACCTTCACCATAAAGTTAAGGAAGTCAGGTTGGGACAAGTAAATGTGACTGAGCTTTAGCATGTTGTGAAAGGGGCTAACTTCCCTTCCTACTTTAAGAAATTAAAACCTGGCGACTCCTCTTTGGGGGCCTTTTACAAATCCAGAGTTTTGCTTCTTTCCTTAAAATAAGCTTATTCTGCTTATTTATTTATTTAGCCTGTCATGGGGCTTGAACTCAGGGCCTGGGCACTGTCTCTGAGCTTCTTTGGCTCAAGGCTAGTGCTCTACCACTTGAGCCACAGTGCCACTTCAGGCTTTTTTCTGTTTGTGTAGTGCTGAGGAATCAAACTCAGGGCTTCATGCATGCTAGGCAAGCACTCTACCACTGAGCTACATTCCCAACCCTCTGTTTACTCTAAAAAGAAAGAAAGAAATAAAAAACCTGGTCAAAGTCTATGAAACAAGTGAAACAAATTTCCCTTGAGCAAAGTAGGTTATTTAGCTTACAACTCTGTCCCATGATGGTTTTCTGCAGCATAGTAATCTTTCTGCAGAGTGTAGGGGATGCTCATGGTCTCCTTACTAAGATAGGATATTAACAAGATACATACTTACCAAAGAAATTGTTTGGGTGATGGTAAGCATTTTCTTGATTATGGCAATGATTTTATGGATATACACACATGTAGCTTAAAATATATGTGTGTGTATATATATGTGTGTGTGTGTGTGTGTACATACACAAATGCTCAGATTGTGCACTTGATATGGACTCACTGTGGTCTTCTCCTTTAATTAGTGTTAATGCACACTGAGTAGTATTACTTACTGTTACCTTTGTACTGCAGAAATGCACATGGGGGGCTGGGAAGGTGGCTCAATGGTAGAGCGCTTGCCTTGCATGCATGAGGCCCTGGGTTCGATTCCTCAGCACCACATAAGCAAAAACAAAAAAAAATGTACATGGGAAAGAAGATTGTGTCTTAAGGAACTATTTGAAAGATCCTAATACCATTACCTAGCTCTGCATATCAAGGACTGTCAGCCTACAAGGAGTAAGTTGTCAAGAATGTATAGCTCTTGAAGGTAGGAAACATATATGTGTGTGTATACATGTATGTGCATATGTAGAACACATGTATGTGTGCACATAAGTATAGAGAGAACCCAGTGCTTCAAGTTAGGGGAGCACTCTACCACTGAACATTCTCAGCCCCAATCCATCTTTTATGGAGAAGATAATCCTAGCTCGGAGCCTCCCTTCCATACAGTGGGCAAATCTGTTGCACAAATTCAGTGATTACTTTATGGCCATGCAGGCATGCTCATAACATAGAATGTGATGTGAATGGTGCTCCTTGGAGTGAGGTAGTGTTGAAATCCTCAGGTGGGGAGGGGCCAGTGAGACAGTGGTTACAACTATGAAACATGGAGGTTGTGGTACAGCTTGCCGTAACTATTGCTCTGTTGCTGTCATCGTCCTCCAGTTTACTCTATACGTCTTGCAGGTCCAGGCCTTCTGTCTAGTCTGAGCAAAGGCATTCTGAGTTGGTAAAAGAACAAATTTATCTCTGGGTTTTTTGCTTGTGCCAGTCCTAGGGCTGGAACTCAGGGACTAGACACTTTCCCTGAGCTTTCGTGCTCAAGGTTAGCACTCTACTACTTGAGCCACAACTCCACTTTGATTTTTGGTGGTTAATTGCAGATAAAGTCTCATGGACCTGGGCTGGGAAGGTGGCTCAGTGGTAGAGCGCTTGCCTTGCATGCCTGAGGCCCTGGGTTCGATTCCTCAGCACCACATAAGCAAAAAGAAAAAAGCCGGAAGTGGTGCTGTGGTTCAAGTGGTAGAGCGCTAGCCTTGAGCTGAAGAGCTGAGGGACAGCGCTCAGGCCCAGAGTTCAGGCCCCATGAGCAGACCAAAAAAAAAAAAAAGTCTCATGGACCTTCCTGTCTGGGGTGGCAAACTGTGATCCTCAGCTCTCAGCTTTCTGAGTCACTAGGACTACAGCTGTGAGCAACCAGTACCCAGCTTATCGGAGTGTGTTTTACACAGGAAAAAAAGAATGAGGTCTTAAATTATGTTTTAGACCAGTAGATCTTTTTTCAAGAATTTTGTGGGTATTTAATAAAAGTGTATGCTAGAATATATGAGTTTCATAATGTTTATTTTACTTACTCATTAATTTTGTGCTGGTCCTGGGGCTTGAAGTCAGAGCCTGGGGCGCTGTCCCTGAGCTTTTTCACTCAAGGCTAGTGCTCTACCACTTTGCTTTTTTTTGTTTTTGTTTTTGTTTTTGGTCCGGTCATGGGGCCTGAACTCTGGGCCTGAGCTCTGTCCCTCAGCTCTTCAGCTCAAGGCTAGCACTCTACCACTTGAGCCACAGCGCCACTTCCGGCTTTTTTCTTTTTGCTTATGTGGTGCTGAGGAATCGAACCCAGGGCCTCAGGCATGCGAGGCAAGCACTCTACCACTGAGCCACCTTCCCAACCCTGCTCTACCACTTTGTACCACTACTTCACTTCCATTTTTCTGGGGTTAATTGGAGATGAGAGTCTTATGAACTTTTCTGTCCAAGCTGCTTTGAACCCTCAGATTTCAACCTCCTGAGAAGCTAGAATTATAGGTGAGAGCCACTGGCACCTGGGCTTGTTCCTGAGCTTTTCACCTCTAGACTACTGTTCTACCATTTGAGCCACAACTCCATTTTTGGCTTTTGGTCGTTCATTGAAGATCAGAATGTCATGTACTTTCCTACTTGGGTTGACTTTGAACTCAATCCTTCAGATATCCTAAATTGTTAGGATTACAGGTATGAACCACTGGCACCCAGCTTAATAGATTCTTTTAATGATTATAAGAGCAATGCACAGGCTTATTGGAGAAAATTTGGAAATTGTGAAGATGAAAACCTCTACCACCAGTGATCTCAATACACAGTTTAGTAACAGCTTCCTATTCTAATCTGTCTGTCTCTGTCCCTCTCCCCTTTCCCTTCTCCCTCTCTCTTCCCCTCTCCTACTCTCCCTCTTTCTGTATACAGGAGGGGAAAGGGATATTTGTATTAATAATTTTTCCTGTTATTGTAAATGTGCAGATATTTTCATTGACTATGTAAATATTCCACATATAATCGTTCCAGTAATTTAATTGCTTTTAGCTCCAGTTTGGGATTCCTATTTTAGAAGTGGATACATTTTTAATGAAAAAACAACTTAAGGATTAACCCGAATGTTACAATTTATATAATTTTCCTTATGTTATGATAAGTAGTCTAATTGCTTACAATTTGAATCCTTGATACTTCCCAGAAACATACTGGAAAACTTGTGCTTAGGGGGATATAATACTTTCTTCTAAACCGCCTGTTTTTGTTTCCCACAGAGATCTAAGGAAGTTACAGACACAGGGGCTATTCCAAATGCCAGGATAAAAGCCATCAGCAGGGGGCAGAAAAACAAAAAAAAGCTTGGTAAGACCCTAATATATGCTTACTGTTCTTTATTTCAAATGAATGCTGAATCTTTGACATAGAGTGGAATTTTAAGTAGATTCCAGTGCAAATTCCAGATCTGAAAGCATATAATACAGTATAGAATTATGGTAAAGTTGGAAGCAGTGTGTGTGTACAAAAACCCTGCTTCTGTCAGTGAGTTGCATTTCCAGTAGAGCAACTATTATGCAAAAGACAATAATAGCAAAGGGGCATTTCTTCTTTTTCTCTGCTGGCATAGATTCTTCTATTATTGCCTCTAAATATGACTTTCTGTGTTTTTGAAGCAAAATGCTTATTTTCCAGATTGATTTGCCAATGGAATTATCAGGTTGGGTGACTTAAACTTGATATTCAACTTTCCAGAAACTTGCATTTTTCATATTGAATTTTGAACAAATAGGGAAGCTTGTTTTCCCTTACAACAGCCTTAGCGTGAGTATGCATAGAAAGATCACTTGTTGCATTAGTCCCATGTCTCTGATGAGCCATTCCTGGATAGCGTCTGAGGCCCAGGGTTTCTGTCCTTGGGCTGCCTGCCTAGGACCAGCTTCTCAAGTGTGGAACCAGGGTAATGTTAATAGTAGATTCTTCTACTATTAACAAAACTTTTTTAGGAGGTTTTTTGCTTTGCTTTTTTTTTTTTTTTGTCTTTTTGTTGGTGGCATTCGGGGAAGGAAGAGGGTGTAGTCCTCTGCCACGTGCAGGCAGAAGGGACCTGGGAGTCAGCACCACTGCACAAGCTGTGTATTAAAGCCCTCGCTGATCCGCTTCTCAGAGTTACAGTATTTGACGATGAGGAATAAAACAGATTTTAACATTTGTCTAACTGGCCTTTACAGTAAACAGTACCTGTGTTCTGTTTGGTGACAGGTTTCTTTATAATCTCTTAGGGTTGTTTTGAGGGTTTACAAAAATAGCCTGCTTAAAATGCCCAGCACAGAGTTGGCATCTAGGCAGACCTCGGCAGGCCTTTCCTGGATTTTAGTTTTTCCCTGTAACTTAGGACCAGTTCTATAAAAACAGAATGGCGTTGAACTGTTATTTTGTTTTTTTGTTTTTATTTTCTGTTCTTACTGCCCTGTCCTGTACCATCAGATCTTGGCTCTTGATATTTGCTTATTCACTCACCAAATATTCCAAAGTGGAAGAAAACCTTTGGAGGCAATGATAGTACTTTCATATACAATTCTTCTAGGTATTGTTTAGTGAAGTACATTTTTAAGCCAGTCATGAAGACTCACACCTGTAATCCCAGTTACTCAAGTGGTAGAGATCAGAAGGATCTCAATTTGAGAGTGGCCTAGGTAAAAGGTTGAGAGTCCTCAACTCAACAAACAAGCCTAGTTTGGTGGTGCGTGCTTATAGTCCTACCTGTGCATGAGGCATACATAGGAGTATCATTGTTCCAAGCCTATCTGAAAAATAACCCAAAACAAAAAGGATTGGAGGCGTGCCTCAAGTGGTAGAGTACCTGCTTAGCAAACCTAAGGCACTGAATTCAAACTCAAGTACCACCACCACCAAAAAAGAAAAACCCAATAACCTCCTCTCCCACTTTCTCTCCCCCCTTCCTTCCTTCCTTCCTTCCTTCCTTCCTTCCTTCCTTCCTT